ATTAAAAGGCCAAAGTGTTTTCTTTTTCTTTTTTTTTTTTTTAAAGATTTTATTTATTTATTCATGAGAGATAGAGAGAGAGAGAGAGAGGCAGAGGGAGAAGCAGGCTCCCCGCGGAGCAGGGAGCCCGATGCGGGACTCGATCCCGGGACCCTGGGATCATGACCTGAGCTGAAGGCAGACGCTTAACCGACTGAGCCACCCAGGCGTCCCCTAGTCAACGAAATATTTATAGGGGCGCCTGGGTGGCTCAGTCATTAAGTGTCTGCCTTTGGCTCAGGTCGTGATCCCGGAGTCCTGGGATCGAGCCTGCATCGGGCTCCCTGCTCGGCGGGAAGCCTGCTTCTCCCTCTCCCCACTCCCCCTGCTTGTGTTCCCTCTCTCACTGTCTCTCTCTCTATCAAATAAATAAAATCTTTAAAACAAAACAAAACAAATATTTATAAAGTTTATAAAAAGAGAAATGTACCTAACATATTAAATAAAAAGTAGTATAGGGGCGCCTAGGTGGCTCAGTCAGTTAAGCGTCTGCCTTCAGCTCAGGTAATGATCCCAGGGTCCTGGGATTGAGCCCCGTGTCAGGCTCCCTGCTCAGCAGGAAGTCGGCTTCTCCCTCTGCCCCTCCCTCTAGCTCATGCGCTCTCTCTCAAACAAATAAATAAAAAATCTTAAAAAAAAAAAGGTAGTATAATTACAAAAATTTTAAAAACTGCTTAAAAAGTATGGAAAAATTATTTTAAAAAAACTAATGGTCTAGCAATTGGGGGACTAAACTATGATACACCTATATGATGGAATATTATATTACACAGTTATATATTATATTAAACAAATTATGTTTTTCAAGAATATTTAATGATTTGGGGAAAATGCTCTTATAAGAAATTCATCAATATATTATATCAAAGATTATCAATGAGGAGGAGGAACATTGGTGAATTTTCTTTTCTTTTGTATGTTTTCCTATATTTTCTCCAATCAGTAAAAATTTATCAAAGCAAATATAATGCAATTAAATGAACAAAAAAACATAAAGAGAAATACACTATAATATTCACAATATGTATGCTTGAATCTTTTTATTTCTACTTTTAAAAATTTTACTGTAATTACAGTTAAGTGCTTATCTCCTTTGTATAAGAAAACCTTTGAAAGCAATTTAAAATACATATAAAATTGTTATTCTTGTTAAACCAATCTATAACTGGATTCAGTTTATTGACCTAATTATACTAATATGAAAAAAAGGACTCACTTTTCAGAGTAGATGCTGTTGATGGCAAGGGTAAACACAATGGTTCGCAGCACAGACTAGAGTCTGCCTGGGTTCAAATCCTCGTTCTGCCACCAACCTACCCTTGGGAAGCTCTGTGTGCCTCGTTCTGCCACCAACCTACCCTTGGGAAGCTCTGTGTGCCTCAGTTTCCTCAGTTATAAAAAGAAAATAACAACGCCTACCTCATAGGACTGTTGTAAGATTTACGTAAGTTAATAAAGGCAAAACACAGAGAATGGTACCTGGCACACGGGAAGTTCTCAAGAAATGTTTGCTCTGGATGCTGAGAACGAGGACGGCAGTTAGCAGCTTCCACAACAGGCACTGTGTGCTAAATCCCTTACGTACTTACTACAATCCTATGAATAATAACTGACTTTCAGTAAGTGAAGCATCTGCTTCCTTCTTACCTTTTTTTTTTAGGATTGTTATTTATTTGAGAAAGAACGTGCGTGTGCACACAAACAGGGATGGGAGGGGCTAAGGGGGAGGCAGGCTCCCCGCTGAGCTCCATCCCAGGACCCTGAGATCATGACCTGAGCTAGACCCTTAACCGACTGAGCCACCCAGGCGCCCCTGCTTCCTTCTTACTAACAAAATCTAACCTGTAACGGTATCTTCTAAAACGCAACTATCCAAATTTTCTTGTAAATAGAAAGGTTTATGTATAAATGTCCGAACTGTCCATTCTGTGCTCTCTATCTGATTGTTCAACACCAGAACTGTTAAATGTTACAAAGCTGCAAAGACATCACAAAAATATACAGGAAATCCACTCTTGGTTTCATTATTTAATACTTATGTACTTACTTATGAGAGTAGCAACAACTTCAAAACAAATGAGCTGGTTGTTCTGGAATAATTTTACAAATGGAAAAGCCAAGAGTGGAAGATACGGTGTGTCGCTAAAGATGGCAGACCAGTGAGCTAATGCAGATAGGGTTCTGTGAATCAGGTAAGGAGATAAAGACCAGAGAACAGTTTACTATTAAAATTTGACTAAATAATATATTCACCTGATAAAAAATTTGCTATGGAAGGTATATTTGATGAAAATTCTCCCTCCTACCTTTATCATCTAGCTTACTTCCCAAGAACCACTGTTAAAAGTAGAGATCCTTTTTTAAAAAATAGAAAGGTTGGTATAAACATTGTTTTACACCTTGTGTTTTCCACTTAATAGTATCTTGGAAACAGTTCATTTTCAGTAGATGTGGAGCTTTGATACACAAGATAGTTTCGTATAGATACACCTTAATTTCTTTAACTTGGGCCTTACTGGGCATTTAAGTTGTTTCTAATCCTTTATAAATAATGCCATGCTTATTGTTTTATTTACATCATTCTTCATGTAGGAATATAAATTTGGATAAATTCCTAGAAGTGGAATTGCTGAATCAAAAAACATGTGCATTAATTTCAATAGCCAGTGCCAAATTATTCTTTGCAAAAATAGTGGCTATTCACATTCTCATTAGCAGAGTAAAGGGATGCCCATTTTCTCACTCTGGCCAATGTGTTTTATTATCAACCTTCTTTTTAAACCTTTAGTCTAGGTGAGAAATGGTATTTCAATGTGGTTTTAAATGTATATGTGTATATACATTTTCAATGTAATTTTAATTGGCATTTATTATAAGAGAGGTACAGCATCTTTTCATGTCTAAGAACCATATCCCCAGCTATGAACTACACATTCAATCCTTTTTCCATTTTTTATTCATTGGTCCTTTCCATGCTCATTTAAATGAATACTTCATATAGAAACCAGTCTTTTATCTGTCCTATGTTTTGTATATACCTTCTCAGTTTTACATATGTCTCTGGGGAATTTTTTTACATGTAGAGATTCATGTTCATAGCAATCTCTTCCGGATATGTCAAGTTTAAAAAGGCTTGCCTTACTCTAGGGCTATAATTCTCCCATATTCTGATACTTTCAAGGTTTCCCTTTTTTTTTAAACCTTTTGTTTTGAGATAGTTTTAGGTTTACAAAAAGTTGTAAAATCAGTAGAGAGTTCCTGTATACCTTTCACTCAAATTACTCTGTTAACATCTTGCATAAATATAGTACAATTATCAACACTAGGAAATTAACATTGGTACTGTGCTATTAACTAAATCAGACTTCATTCAGATTTTATCATTTTTCCCATTTTGCTGTGTCATTTTTTCGTTTTGCCAATCTAGGATGCAACACTGTATTTCTTTGCTAAGTCCCCACAGGTTCTTCCAATGTGGAAGCTCCCAGTTTCTTATCTTTTGGACACTGACATTTTTGAGGAATACCACATAGTTATTTTATAGATTGTCCCTCAATGTTTTCTCACAATTTTAGAGTGAGGTTATAAATTTCTGGCAAGAATACCAAAAAGTGATGTACAACATACTGATGTGTATTATTACTGGTGATTTTAAATCTGACTACTTAGTTAAGGTGGTATCGGCCAAGTTTCTCTACTATAAAATTACTATCTTCCCGTTTGTAATTAATAAATATCTCTAGGAAGATACATATATTGCTGCAATATACCGAACATACCTCTGTAATACTCTGAGTAGTTTCCCGCTTTTGATGGGGTATTTCTTCTGAAGGTTGAGAAATGCCACATGAACACCCTTATCTTCCAGGCTGCTAAATGCCGTATGGTTTTCAGGCAGTTGTAGAAGAGAACGCCAAATGAACATTCTGGAACAAAAACGTAATTTCAACCAAGAAAAATTTGGGGGGTAAAATTGATTTAACATGAAAGAAAGTAAATTTTACCTGTATTTCATTGGATATTCACCATAGCCTTTTAATAAGACTTGTAAACGCTTTTTGTTCAAGCCATCGGACAACTCATTCTTAAAAAAATAAATAAATAAATAATATCAGTAAGTGACATAATCACAAAACTGAAAAGGTAATCTAGCCCACAGTGGCTTTCCAGCTTTACTTACTTATATATTTAAAGATTTTATTCATTTATTTATTTATTTTAGAGGGGGGAGGAATGAGCAGGGGGAGAAGCAGAGACAGAGGGGGAAAGAATCTCAAGTAGACACCACGCTGCGCATGGATTCTGATGCGGGGCTCGATCTCACGACCCTGAGATCATGACCTGAGCTGAAACTAAGAGTCGGGATGCTCAACCAACTGAGCCACCCACGTACCCCGTGGCTTTCCAATTTTAGAACACTACGTGCAGTAAAAAAATATTTTTACAACATGGGACTCTCTATTCTCTGTCTCTCTCTCTCCAGTGCACATGTACACAGCAGATAAAGTTCATGACGTATCACCCTAGACCTGGGTTTGGCAAACTTTTTCTGTAAAGGGTCAGAGAGTAAATGTTTTAGGCTTTGTGGGTCAAGAGATAAAATCAAGGATATTATGAAGATACTTAAAATGTAAACATTTAAAAATGTGAAACTTATTCTTAGCCGGAGGAGCCAGATGTGGCTGGCGGGCTGTCACCTGCTAATCCCAGCGGCAAGAGCAATGTGTCCTGGTATTTTCTTCCTTCTTTCTCTCCCCACCCTTTCACTTTTTTCCCCCTTCTTACTTTTTTTTTTATTAAGATTTTATTTATTTATTTGACAGAGAGAGACACAGCGAGAGAGGGAACACAAGCAGGGGCAGAGGGAGAGGGAGAAGCAGGCTTCCCAGAGAGCAGGGAGCCTGATGCGGGGCTCGATCCCAGGACCCTGGGACCATGACCCGAGCAGAAGGCAGATGCTTAATGACTGAGCCACAGGTGCCCCTCCCCCTTCTTACTTTTAAGTCAATTTTTATCTTAATGGAAAATTACTATATAGATTTGGGGATGATAAAGCCATTTTCAGAGATGACCTCGTTTGATGCTAACAACTCAACGGAACAGATGGGATGTTTTTTCTTTGAGAAAAAGGGTAGGTCAGAGCTCAGTGACACAAACCTGATCAATAAGTCTTGGCTCAAGACTCAAAGCCAGATTTTCTGACTTGGTTCAATGCCCCCCCCTTTTTTTTTTTACCATAAAAAACAGGTAGTCCAATGTAAGAGGGGGTGAAGGGAAAACCCAAGAGGATGGTGAATGAAGATCCCCCTTTGAGAGCCATGCGCCAGAGACTGAAGGCTGAGGCAACAGGATCTAGGAAAGAGACACATTCATTCCCGTCATCTGCAAGACACCTGCTGCCACTGGAACCTCTTTGTAAACAAAGATAAAACGCCCAGGTGGGTTTGGCTTGAGTTTTATCTGTTCTTATCTTGACCACATACAGATGAAGTTCCTGCTTCCCCGTCCATATCCCGACAACAAGATTAGTGGACGAAATGCATTTCACCCTGAACAAGGGTTCTACTTGGACCTACTCCTTACAGCCGGCTGAGGATTGCTTAGAAGCAGCCCACTCCCTGACACATTTCTGTAGGATTTCCGAATTTGACTCACACTAGAGCACTGCCAGGTGCCCTGATGGTGGTGCCTCTTTTATTTCACAGAAGTCAATTGTGATCATGCCCTCCTTTTTCTCAGAAAAGCCTCCTATAAATTCTCAGGAAAGCTGAGGTCAGACCATGTCTCAGAGCTATCATTCAGCCTATTTTCTCAGTCCCTGAACAAGAACAATATTGTCCAATCTTTACACAGCTAGACTTGTGCCTGCTAGTTAGCTTTTTAAAACTAACCAATATTTTTGGAAGGGAGCTTGGTGGGGGGATGGGATAATTGGGTGATGGGCATTAAGGAGGGCATGTGTTGTAATGAGCACTGGGCATTATATGTAATGAGCAACCGATGAATCACTAAATTCTACCCCTGAAACTAATAATACGCTATATATTGACTAAACTGAATTTATTTATTTATTTATTTTTAAAGATTTTATTTATTTATTGGACAGAGAGATAGCGAGAGCAAGAACACAATCAGGGGGAGTGGCAGAGGGAGAAGCAGGCTTCCCGCCGAGCAGGGAGCCTGATGTGGGGCTCCATCCCAGGACCCTGGGATCATGACCTGAGCTGAAGGCAGACGCTTAACGACTGAGTCACCCAGGCGCCCTGTTTATATTCTTTTTTAAAAAATGTATTTACTTATTTAAGTAATCTCTACAGTCAACATGGGGCTTGAACTCACGACCCCAAGATCAAGAGTCACATGCTTTTCTGACTGAGCCAGCCAGGCACTCCAGGATATTTTATTTCTTCTGCTTATACGAAGTTTCAATGTGGGATGAGTATCTGCCGTATGCAGTGCATCTCAGTCCAGACTAGGCGCATCTCAGGTACTCAGTAGCCCCATGTGGCTAGTGGCTAGCGTATTGGACAGTGCAATTCTATACTATTTGACTTCTTTAAAAATCATAAACATGTACTAATTATAATTACATACTTAAAATTTAGAAGGCACATTATAATTTCAGTTACAACTTTCTTCTCTTCTTTCCTTTAACTTCTAAGAGAGGGAAGAGTGATGATGGCCTATCATCAATCTTGTCCACAGCAGAGTCATGACAAACAAAAATGTAACTATAATATATTCTTACCTCTTTATTTTCAAAACTACCAGCCAGGTCTTGCTTTAGTATTCTGGTTTGTATTTTGTTTTCCCTTGATTTTGCTGGCCGCTGTACTCTTCCTGTTGTTACTTTTATCTTAAGGTCACCAGAATTCAGTTTACTCTTGGGCAAATCTTCAATCACTTTCACTAAGGGAGGAGGTGGCTAAAAGGGGGAAAAAATAAAATCTAGTGGTTATCCTTGGAAAACAGACCTGTCCACATAGGATTTACAAAATTTGTTGTGATCAATTTCATAATGTGCCTTAACATACATCATTATTCTTCAAGCAAAAAGTGTACATAAAATAACCAAGAATGTTTCCTTGTCATTAAATCAAAACAAATTTCTGCCAAATTCCTTTGAAGAACACAATAAAGATACATGATTGACAACAATAGAGAATTTAATTATCCCTTGAAAGCTGGCCTTCAATCATAGTATATCAATCCATTTTTTTAAAAGATTTTATTTATCTATTTGAGAGAGAGAGCATGAGAGAGAGAGAGTGAGCGAGCATGAGTGGGGGTGGGGGGACAGAGGCAGAGGGAGCAGTAGACTCCCCACTGAGCAGGGAGCCCAATGCAGGGCTCGATCCCAGGACCCCAGGATCATGGCCTGAGCCAAAAGCAGATGCCCCAATCCATTTTTTTTATACTTGCGTGATAAAGTTAGTAGTTTGGTGATAATCAGCACAGAAGGCACAGTTGGACGTAGGGCCCTCCTAGAACGGGGAGAGAAGCACCCTAATATTCTTTGGGCTCAAGTGAATTTCTCTGAGGGAGTTGTCAAATGACATTCCTCTAGAGGCATTTGACGCCTGCCTCTGTCCCTGGCTCCACAGAGAAGGCTGTTAGTCCCCTATGGCATCAACAGCTTAACGGGCAATTTGGACAGCACCACTTAGAGTCTTAATTCTCATTTCTATGGGAAAATAAGAAGAAAATTAGCTCCAACAATTTACTTAAGGGAAAATGATACACTAACACATTTTCTCTATGAATAATACCACTTTAAAATCAAAAGATCTTCCTTTTTCAAAGGAAATGAGCAGATAAGGTAACTCAGGCTTCCCGAGTTCTAAATATTAATGAAAGTACAATGGCTTTCACAGACCATTTAAATGTTTGAGGCCTTCATTGCTAGAAGTTTCCTTAGTAATTAGCCCAGACCCAAATCAAAGACTAGGTGGATGTGTGATTTTTAAAAATTTTTTCTGGAAGCCAAAGTGTCAATTCCTTTCATATGAAAACAGAGAACAACAACACAGGGAAGACCCCGTATGTCCAAATGAACACATTAGATTTCAGAAAAACACATGTTAGACACAGTACCTCGTATTCACATTGTCATGAAAGCCAGAATAGTGATCTTCCAAGATAATGTCTAATGAAAATGAATCACCACTCTTCAGGAAAGCTCTCTGAAAAGGATACCAAACTTTTTGACCTCTTCCCCTCTCACTCCCAAAAGAATAAAGCAGAACAAAGCAAACATCTTGACCCTTTTTCATAACATAGACTACTAAAAGGCTACTTTGAGGTTTCAGAGATTTTTCTCATGTTATCTTCAGAGGTTTAGGACTTCTGCTTTTGAAATCTGCAGCCTACTGTCTGAGTCCAAAAAAGTCTTCCCTGGGGCGCCTGGGTGGCTCAGTCGGGTTACACAGTTGACTTCAGCTCAGGTCATGATCTCAGGGTCCTGGGATTGAGCCCTGTGTCAGGTCTGTGCTTGGTGGGGAGTCTGTTTCTCCCTCTCCCTTTACCCTCCCCCCAACCCCCCACTCATGCTCTCTCTCTCAAATAAATAGAATCTTCAAAAAAAGTCTTCCCTATTGCCAACTGCAGTGTGATGAATACATAACACTGTAAAATGTATACAGTAGGTAATGTGATAATACACACATGGCATAGATACTAAATTTTTGTTTTAAAATTATTATAAAAAGCATTTAAAGTTGTGACTGTTTCTATAAGATTTTTTAAATGGTGTTTTTCTCGGATACATGGTCATTTATTCACATCTAGAAAAAACACAAGGATAAAGGCAAGTATAACAATAGCTCTGACCCAAAAAAAAGTATGATGGCCACCTATTCTATGATTCAATTTTTCAATTCTTTATCTATGAAATGCAATTAGAAATGGTCTGACTTCTAAATATTGCCCATCTTTCTAACCTCAATCCATTCTTCCCAATCTTTATTAAAATTTTTATTCTAGCGCCACGTTTTTTCTCTTGAACTTCATGTGCTTCCACGAAATACAATCTCCCAAAAGTTAGGGCCTGAGATATGACCTGCATAGCCAATACCTTAGTAGTGTTAAAACTTCAACAAAGAAGTAGCAATTAGCTTACTTATTGGCACAATTAGCACCAATAATTCTCCAATAGCCAAAAAACAGGACTTGAAGGAATGGAACATGGGTCAGTTCTATAGAAACTACAGACCTGAGCATTCGTGTATGCTCAATAGCCAGGAAGACACTGGTAATGTGTACAAAAGAAAAAGAAAAAAAGATCATCCTCCTTCTGTTATACTCTAGCTTTTCTGGTCAATATGATGTTAATTTGCTTAACAAAGAGCAGAGAGGAAGTCACTGACTTACTCTTACTTTGGTTTTTCTCAGATCTCTCCCCGCTTCTATTAATAACATGTACCTAGCTCCTCCAAAATTCAGCTAAGCTGAAAACTCCCATTAAGAGCAAATAATGTTATTAAAATTTTTAAAGTTTACGAGAACAGTAGAGTCTAATTCCATATGGTTAAAGAAAATGTACGCATGTGCGTGCGCACACACACACACACACACACACACAGAGTAGCTTCTCGCTAGTCACAGTAGGTCTGTTCTATAAAGAAGTCGCAAGTACTGAGTTAGTGATACTGAATCACCAATCCTAGGAGAAATACAGTTAGGTCCCTGTGAGCCAGTGATCACAGCCTTTCTATCAGCCAATCAATATGTCACTTTGTTTAGTGTATGTTTGTGTTTAAAGACACTTATTTCATATATATTGTTGATTTTTACCAGGAGGTGAATTCACATTTACAGAATCCATAAATAACGAGGACGGACTGTCTACATTCACAAGCATAGACAAAAAAGCCTGGGAAAATATATACCTCAAAATCATCCAAGAAAGGAGAGACTGAGTGATTCTCATCTCTTTGTTTATCTGTATCTTTTGATTTTTTTTTTCCTGTGTTAAGAGACTTATTACTTGTCTAACTAAAAAAAAAAAAAAAAAAAAAGATAAAAAGGACAAGAAGGAGCAGACACATAGCAAAAAGACTATATCATTTTAAGAACAGAACACGGGCCCTGCTAATGACTAGCTGTGTGATGAGGCTGAGGCATGAGCTTCTTCCTCCATAAAAGGAAATCATTAGACCAGGTGATCAGCAAAGTCCCTCTCAGGGGCAATGACACAACCCCAGAACTCACAAGGCTGCACACAGACAATGAGACTCGGCAACAAGTCGGGGAAATTCTAGATAACCATAAAAGAGAAGTGGGAAGTATATTTTAGGTGAAATGAACAATGCAGCAGATGTAGAAATGAGAATGGGGTCTATGGGGGGACAGTGAGGGAAGTTACAAGTCTGGGGAAGTAAGTTAGACAGGCAGACCAGACAAGATTAGAGAGGACTTTGACAGTCAGGCATTAGAGTCTGGACTTAAAGTGGCAGACAAAAGGAAGGAAGCCACCAAAGTAGCACTATTTTAGAAATGATGATGACAGTATTATTTTAGAAACATGCTATATAAAAGAGGGACTGATGGGCAGAGGGAGGCCCTGAGGGCTCCAAGTTTTTTTTTTTTTTAAAGATTATTTATTTATTTATTTATTTATTTATTTGATAGAGAGAGAGAGACACAGCGCGAGCAGGAACACAAGCAGGGGGAGTGGGAGAGGGAGAAGCAGGCTTCCCACTGATCAGAGAGCCGAATGCGGGGCTTGATCCCAGGACCCCGGGATCATGACCTGAGCCGAAGGCAGATGCTTAATGACTGAGCCACCCAGGCGCCCCTCTGAGTTTTGGTATATTGGTTTAAATAACTGAACTCAAGAGTAGTTACTGAGTACAAATACAGGGACAGCTAATGTGGAGATGGACAACAGGCAACACTTATATAGATATTATTTTAAATTTAAGAACTATGACTTAATATTGACTAGATCTAAAGATGTACAGGAACAGTCCTAGTGCTCCAAGATTTCTAACCTATAAGATGGGAAGAAAGACTGAGACAGAAATGAAGAGACTGGGACTGAAGATCTCTTTTGGGAAGGAGATCATGACAGGCACGCTGAATGGGATAGGGACCCCACAGATGCCTGTTAGGCAGGCAGCAACTTAAGAAAGGAGCATAGCTGAGAAAAGTGTGAAGGGGCCTGGCTGGCTCAGTCGGTAGAGCATGTGAATCTTAATCTTGGGGTTGTAAGTTCAAGCCCCACGTTGGGGGTGGAGATTACTTAAATTTAAAATCATGGAGGAAAGAAAAAAAGCATAGAGATGTGGCTTTGGGAGGAAGAGGAGAAAAAACAAAACAAAACCCAGAAGTATGGATAAGGTCCAAGGAATTTAGAAAATCAGAGCATAAAGATTATATTTTTTTGTTTGTTTGTTTTTAATATTTTATTTATTTATTTGAGAGACAGAGAGAGAGGAAGGGAAAGCACAGAGGGAGAAGCAGACTCCTCGCTGAGCAGGGAGCCCAATGCAGGGCTTGATCCCAGGACCCTGGGATCATAAGCTGAACTGAAGGCAGATGCTTAACTGAGCCACCCAGGCACCCCAAGATTTTATTTTTGATGATACAACATTTAAATCTTTAAAAAAAACCCGTGATAGGGGTGCCTGGGTGGCTCAGTCGGTTAAGCAGCTGCCTTCGGCTCAGGTCATGATCCCAGGGTCCTGGGATCGAGCCCTACATTGGGCTCCTTGCTCCGCGGGAAGCCTGCTTCTCCCTCTCCCACTCCCCCTGCTTGTGTTCCTGTTCTCACTGTGTCTCTCTCTGTCAAATAAATAAATAAAATCTTAAAAACAAAATAAAACAAAACCCGTGATATTCTTTACTTGATAACATACCTTATTTATTTCTTGTGTTAGAGCTTGAACTGAATATATGTTCAGACTTCCATTTTCCATAATAGATGCAATGTACCGACCATGTGGGCTAATTACTGATGAGCTAATTCCTTCATCAAGGCTCCCAATTTCAAAGAGAAGTTTACAAGTCTGTATATTAACAAATCTCATTATACCATCTTGACTTAGCACTCCAAGAACCTAAGAGTAGAGAGAAACAATATATGAGTTCCAAAAACACATTTAAAAGTCCAGTGTCTCAGACATTAACTAGACTTATTATAGTGATCATTACACAATGTATATAAATATCGAATCATTATGAAGCTAACGTTTTATGTCAATTATAACTCAATTTAAAAAAAGTCAACTCCCTAAACATCAAACTATACACATTTACACATACATATGTGTATGTAGCTATATATGGAGTTTTTTTGTTTGTTTGTTTGTTGGGGGGGAAGACTGTCAGAGATTATATTCGCAAAGAGCCATCATGTATTTCAAAATCTCTAATTATGGCTCATGTACATTAGCCCTACTGAGGTCCAGATAAGCCTGACTCTGACCAGAACCAGCAAGGTGCCCATCCTGAGAGACTATGGCAGGGAGCATCTGTACTAATCCCTTCAGAGGGAATACAGATGATTAGACAGTCCTTAACTGTGACCTCCACTCTAGTTGTCAGAGGCAAGGAGGGGGGAGGGTTTGTTTTCCTTTACCATCCCCACAGCTTGATCAGAACTAGCATTTGTCCTGCTGCCCCTACATAAACCTGACTCTGGCAGGTGTAACATTTGGGGAATGGAGAAAAGAAAGTCTGTGGGCTGCAAGGAAGGGTAAGAAGGAATCTAGCTTTTAAAGGGGGATAAACTTAGTTTTAACTCACGTAATTTGAAAAACTGAAAACATGTACTAAAAAAGCGTAAGTCAATACACAACAGACCCCTTTACTGCCTTGTCTATGCATGGGTTCTTTCCCCAATGCCGGGGCTGGCAAGCTGTGCCACCATGGACTGCACGAGATGCTGATGTCACTTGCTACATGAAAGACGACAGCCTGGAAGTGGCTGGAGACAGTCTGAAGGTGGCAATCTCTTCTGTTGGGTCAGGCTGTAGGAAACCCCCTCACTCACAGCTGATGCAACCTTTCTAGAGGGCAATTTGGCAAGATCCTCAAAATTACAGATGCACATAATCCTAATACTACTATTTCAACTCTGGGATTTTATCCTATGGAGAGGATGTATGAAATGGTGTGTGCAAAAAGTTATTCAGTGCACCATTATTTGTTTGTTTGTTTGTTTAAGATTTTATTTATTTGAGAGAGAGAGAGAACACAAGCAGGGGGAGGGGCAGAGGAAGAGGGAGAAACAGACTCCCTGCTGAGTGCGGAGGGCTCAATGTGGGGCTCGATCCCAGGACCCTGAGATCATGACCTGGGCCGAAGGCAGACGCTTAACCAACTGAGCCACCCAGACACCCCTCAGTGCACCATTATTTGTAATAAAGAAGGACTAAAAACAGGCTAAGTGCCCAATAACAAAGCACTGGTTAAAAAACTATGAAATACTATGCAGCTGTAAAAAAAAAAAAAATGAAGTTCTCTACTGACCATCTTCAAGGTCAATAATTAAGTGAAGAAAAGCCAAAAATAAAAGTGAAGAAAAGCAAGGTGCAAAGCTGCGTAAGAAAGTGGGAGAAACAGGAGTGTTAATAACAACAGTGGTTATGGAGAGTGAGTAACTGGGCAAATGGGAGAGAAGAATAAGAGATTTCACTTCATTGTCTTTTTATTTATTTATTTTTTATGTTTTCAACCTTGTAAATGCATTATCTATTCAAAAAACTTAAGTTGGGGTACCTGGCTGGCTCGGCTGGCAGAGCATGCAACTCTTAATCTCAGGGTCATGAGTTATATATAACTTGTTAAAGTACGCGACTCAAAACAGTCAATTTAAAATAAGAAAGTTAAGGTTTGACTACTCAACTATTAAAAAGAAAAATGGTGTGAGGATGCCTGGCTGGTTCAACCCATAGAGAATGTGACTCTTGATCTCAGGGTCATGAGTTCAAGCCCTATGCTGGGCGTGGAGTCTACTTTAAAAAAATGAATAAAATGAATAAAATACATAAGCAAAGAAAATTTTTACAACATAATATGTAGAGGGGGGAATATTTTGTAAACTAAGGCAAGATACAAAGAAAACATGCTTCATAAAACTCAGGCAACAAGTTATGGTAGATAAAACAGTACAACATAGAGAAAACTTTAATTCTACTCCCCCCTTTAATCCTTACAATTAATAGGAAGGTTGACAAGTCACTTAATAATTCTAAGCTTTAATGTCAGTCTATGTAATGGTGAGAATACCTTCCCTATACGCAAATAAAAAATAACATGCTAAAGCACCCTGTAAACCATAAAGCATGACATAAATTTAAAGTATATTGATTTTAGAAAAAGGGTTAATTGTCAGTAATATACAGAACCTAATAATGTAAATTTTTTTCAATTTTAGACTCTTCATAATCTTAGCACTTTCAGGTCCTTGTAATAATCACGGTACAAGAGCAAAGATGGTTCAGAAATTATACAATGTCCTACCTTTATATTACTAACCTGATTGGAACCAGCATCAAAACTATCAGGGAGAAATTCTAGGTGGCGGATGGCTCGAACTTTAGTAGGCATCTGAATAATTCTGAATAGCTGTTTAGCTTCCAAGCACCACAAGTGAAGATGATTTGATTTCCCTCCAGCGGCGAGGATTCGACCATCTCTGCAGAACAAAAGGTGAGAAAGTACAACTAAGTGGACTGTTTACAGCAGTACTGTCCAATATGATCCAACAGGATAGAAATGTTCTCTATCTGTGCTGCCCAATATGCTCACTACTGGCCACATGTGACTGAGAACTTGAAATGTGGCTAATGCTTCTGAGGAAATAAAATAATTTCATTTAATTTTTACTAAATAGTCCCATGCATACAGTGGCTACCATACAGGAAAGCTCAGGTTTACAGCATATATATATTTTTTTACCTATTGTACTAAGACACCAGCTTAACAAGTACTTGTTTGATGACTTGATTGAGGATTTCTGAGTAACATTTATCTTTTATAGCATAATCTCAATCCAACTTCCTATATTTCACACAGGACTATACTGAGTTGGTACAGCACCGATACATGAAAAACCCAAAAACTCCAACTTTTTTTTCCTGCTCAAAGCAAGCTACTTTTATAAGGTACGAGAAGAATAAGCTGTATTAACCTGCAATGCTGTTGCTCATTCATTCACCAAGGACTTGTAAAGTGTCTATTACAAGCCAGGTATCATTTCAGGCACCAGGGACACAATGGTGAACAAGGCAGGTGGGATCCCTGCTCTTATGGGATTTTTTAGTCTAGAGGAAGGGAAGCAAAAAAATGAACTTGATCTCAGCTGACGATAGTTCTATAAAGAACTATAAAATGAGATGGGAGTTATAGAGTTGGGAAAGGAGGAAGGTCTGCTCCCTAAAAAATGTGAATGAGCCAGTTAAGGGATGATTCGGAGGAAGAATTCCATGCTGGTTGGTATTCCAGACTGGTTGACACGTGAGTGTTCAGAAAGGAATAAGGTCAGCCACCTAAGGAAGAGAGAGAAGTCACACTCAAGCGTGGCTGGAATTGTGTTAAAGGAAAAGGAAACAGGAGGAAAGACAGGAAAACTAAGGCCAGATGACAGAGGCCTCAGGGATATTATGGGGAGTTTGGGTTTTATTCTAAATACAAGGGAAAGCCTTTCAAGGGAGTTCAATAGGGAAGTGTCACGATTTGACTTATGACTTAAAAAGACCACTCTATCAGGGCGCCTGGGTGGCTCAGTCAGCTCAGCTCAGGTCTTGACCTCAGGGTCCTGAGTTCAAGCCCCGCATTGGGCTCCACAATGGGCATGGAGCCTACTTAAAAAAAAATTAAAAAAAACAAAAAACCAAAAAAACCCTGAAACCCCCCACTCTATCTGCTATGTGGAGACTGACTTTAGGAAATGGAATTGAGGGGCACCTGGGTTGCTCAGTCAGCTAAGCGTCTGCCTTTGGCTCAGGTCATGATCCCAGAGTCCTGGGATTGAGTCCCACATTGGGCTCCCTACTCATCGGGGAGCCTGCTTCTCCCTCTCCTCCCCACTCATGTTCTCTCTCTCTCTAAATAAATAAAATCTTAAAAAAAAAAAAAAAAAGAAATGAAGTTGAAAACAAGGAGACTATTACAGGAGTCTGAAAGAGACCAGGGTAGTTGGAGTAGGGTAATAGCCATGACAATGCACAAGATCAGACCAAGTCAAGATCTCATTTGGTGCAACTGATGGGATTTATTCATGGCTTAGAAGAGGATGAGAGAAAATAAGGAAATAACATATATTTTCTAGCTCTTCCACTGAAAAGGCCTAGAGACAATGACCGAATCAGTCACAAGGAGTACCCCTAGCATCCAGGTTAGGTTCTGAAATATCATTACCCACTAAAACGAACCCAGGCGCTTTAGAAAAATGGCCAATTCCAGGTTTGGGACAGAAAATGTGTAAGATAAGCCTGGAATATCTCGTCAGATGAGAAAGAATGAGAGCATTCAAAACAGACAACTGGAGTTTTATCAAAGGGGCTCAGAGCCAACTTGAAAGGATCCCAGTGGTCAAAGATGAGAGAACTGGAGCATCACTAAGAATAATGTCAATGGATTAAATCATGTCGACTATGTTTAAATCATTCATTCACAAAGATTAAAGGCAAAGCCTTCATTGACCACCTCTGAAAGATGCTAATAAACCAACCCATTATTTTTCATAAAAAAATTTTGAGGGGCGCTTGGGTGGCTCAGTTGGTTAAACTTAGTCTGACTCTTGATCTCAGGGTTGTGGATTGAGCCCCACATTGGGCTCCATGCTGGGCATGGAGCCTACTTTAAAAATAAATTTTTTTTTTAAAAGACAGGGAAATCAAGCATTTATCCTGCCTTTCCTTTGCAACTAACTAGTAACCAGAGAGTTGATGAGAAGAAGTTCCTTTCTATAGAAGGTTTCTAGTAAATAAGGGAAAAAGGAATGGCAGAATTAGCATAGCACCATTTTGCTAACCTCTAATGCAATACTCGTTCTAGGTCATGATCATCGATGGCCACTAATATCACAAGAGAAGTGTTCGTCTGATGAAAGTACACAAACCACCTATCATTATCATGTCTTCCTGACCCCAAATCAAATCTGAATCAGACCAAGCCTCCAATTTACAGGAAATATAGGTATGACCAGTATACAAGAAACACAGACAAAAGAGGATCATATTAAACACCAACGCAGGGATGCAAAAAGCAAAATCTGAAATACAGAGAGTGCTATAGGACAAATGACCAGTTCCTTAACAAATAAATTGCAAGGAAAACATTAAAAAAGGGATATATCATCCAAGACACTGTGTGAACCTTGTTTGGTTCCTGATTTGAACAAAGACTAGATATTTGACAATATTAAGAAATTCTTCATTTTTTAAAAAAGATTTATTTTTTTATTTGAGAGACGGTGAGCGAGAGAGAGAGCATGAGTGGAGGGAGGGGCAGAGGGAGGGAGAGAAGCAGACTCTCCCACAGAGCAGGGAGCCCGACGCAGGGCTCGATCCCAGGACCCTGGGATTGTGACCTGAGCCGAAGGCAGATGCTTAACCAACTGAACCACCCAGGTGCCCCAGAAATTATTCATTTTTAAAAAGTGTGATAAAAGGGTTAATGAACTGGAATTTAAATAAAAACTTGAAAAAGAAAAGTGACAATAGTACTATGGTTATGTTCCAAAAAGGACCCTTTCCTTCAGAGATACACACTGAAATATTTACGGATGAAACGATCCTGCTTGGGCTTTGCTTTAAAGCAACGCAGTAGGTAGTAGGAGGTAGTAACAGGTTGAGTTATAGATAAAATAAAAGTGGCTATAAGTTATTACAGCTAATGAGAACGCTATAATTAGGGTTTCCTGTATTTTTATATTTTTGCATACATTTGAAATTTGCCAAAATAAGTTAAAAAGTTCTACAGAACATATATAAGTTTGAAGGAAAATTTTCTCATATGACAGTGAGATAATGAAAATTTGTAAAATTTTCCTAGAAGCTAGATTTCTTAAATTCTCAGTATTTTAAAAATGTACATTTGGATCAGAGAGGGAGACAAACCATAAGAGACTCTTAACTCTAGGAAACAAAGTGAGGGTTGCTGGAGGGGAGGTGGGTGGGGGTGTGGGGTAACTGGATGATGGGTATTAAGGAGGGCACGTGATGTGATGAGCACTGGGTGTTATATGCAACTGATAAATCACTGAACTCTACCTCTGAAACTAATAATACGCTACATGTTAACTGAATTTAAATAAAATAAAATTTTTTTTAAATGTACATTTGGGGTGCCTGGCTGGCTCAGTTGGAGGAGTGTATGATTCTTGATCTGAGGGTCATGAGTTAGAGCCCCACACTGAGTATAGGGATTACTTAAAAATAAATAAATAAACTTAAAAAAAAAGTGAAATGCACATTACCTGGTCACGGCAAATACTTTGTATAATATACTAGAACTTTCAGGTGGAGCTGGTAATTGATATCTGCAAGAAAGAGTATCACATTCCCAGGCAAAGATGGAATTATCTTTAAAACAGCTGAGGATGGTATTACTTAATGGTAAAAAGAAAACCTAAAGAGGGAGAAAAACAGTTATTGTTCATATAGCCCATAGCCCTCTTTATATTTAAAATTATACAAGTTGTCAATTTTTTTTTAAAGATTTTATTTATTTATTTGACAGAGGGAAACACAGTGAGAGAGGGAACACAAGCAGGGGGAGTGGGAGAGGGAGAAGCAGGCTTCCCGCAGAGCAGGGAGCCCGATGTGGGGCTTGATCCTAGGACCCTGGGATCCTGACCCGAGCCGAAGGCAGACGTTTAACGACTGAGCCACCCAGGCGACCCACAAGTTGTCAATTTTTGTTTTAAAAAATTACTTTTTCTTAAACTGGAAAAAATATACATTTATGACATACGATGGGATAATACTGATATCTCATATACTATTATAAAACTGAAAGGAAAAGGTAAAACCCTTTAAATAAAAAAATTGGAGGGGCACCTGGGTGGCTCAGTTGGAGGAGGGTGCGACTCGATCTTGGGATCATAAGTTCAAGCCCCATGTGGGATGTAGAAATTACTTAAATAAAACTTAAAAAAAGACTGATGAGAGAGAGAATGCATGCTCCAATGAAGAACGAGGTATAAAAACAGTAAGTTTCTAAAATAACCTGAAAGCCAGGCGCCTGGGTGGCTCAGTTGGTTAAGCGACTGCCTTCAGCTCAGGTGATGATCCTGGAGTCCTGGGATCAAGTCCCATATCGGGCTCCCTGCTCGGCGGGGAGTCTGCTCCTCCCTCTGACCCTCCCCCTCTCTCATGCTCTCTCTCTCTCTCTCATTCTCTCTCTCTCAAATAAATAAAATAAAAACTCTTAAAAAAAAAATCGGGGACTAAAATGACCAGGCAATTCATAAAATACAAAGTAACAATTTTAAAATATTTAACCTTATAGAAGATTCAAGTGTAAATATTGATAGCATTTTATATGTATCAAATTGACTTTAAAAATAACATACATAAATACATACACAAGCTATACATACGCTAACATATGTACTCTATAAACTACTTACTACTATAAAATGACATGAAATACTAACTACTCATAAAGATTACAAATATTAAATGTTGGTGAGAGTGTAGGACACGGGCATTGTCCTACTGGGATGCTGGTAATAAAAACTGGCTACAGATACTATATAATGTATCTCAACAGCCTTGAAAATACATGACTCTTCTGAACTAGTCAATCTGCTTCTAAGAGCTAATCCCTTGGAAGAAAAAAATCAGCAAAGTGCTTTAAGATAAATGTATACAAAAGTTTGTTGAGCATTATTTATGATGTTTTATTAGTGACTCACTTTGTGCAATGGACAATTGTGACTGAACCTGATATCAAAGTTGGAAATACCACTTTCTATTTTTCTATTACATAAGCTCTACACAATGCTGACTTTTGATAATACAAAGTTTTAGTTAAAATTCACCATTTTCTCGTAAGAATTTCGATGGCCTCCAGTATGATTTTGTGTGTCATTTCTGTAAAGCACACAAAGGGAGGGAGGGAAGGAAAAAGAAAGAAGGAAAGAAAATGGAAGAAACCTGTGCCCTAGGAATACCATATTCCTGCCCATCTTCTCAAAATAATCTCCCCAAATAGCCTGGGACATTTCACATGGTTAAATCCTTAGTTACATCTCCAGCTCTTTATTCTTTGATTCCCATCGAGAATAGCCTTCTTAACTGCAAAACAGCTTACTGTAATACTTTCTATTTGAACATATTTCGTCCTTGTTTCCGCCAGTTTGTCTTTACAAGCTTTATTATTTTTTTAAGAATATATGATTTGGTCTTGTGTTGGAGAGGAACAGGGACTCACTGAGGAGGCAGAACACCCTGAACAACTTGCAGCCTCTTATTCCGATCCCTGATTGGTCACACACCTTCACCATTTACTAGTGTCAGAAGGAGGCCTGTTTTCTCTGAAATGCTACATTCTTTGGGGATGAAGTGTTCAACATCTCGAACACTGGAATGTCTCTGGAGTATTTACAATCTGGAGGCTGTCAGCACGGTAATGAGAGGGGGCAGACCGAAAATGGCCAGGGGAAAAGCAGGCTCAACACCAAATCTACCGCGGCTTTCTCCAGCGTTACAAACATAATGAATCAATAAGGCACCTAAATGAAATACTTCTGCAACCTTGCATCTAATTTGTGTTGTCACTTAGCCTACTATGTATATATACAGTTAAGAAATGATTCTAATAGTTAATGATATTACTATAAAAACTTCACAGGAATTGAAACCCCTAATTATTTTTAATAGTTTTGTTGTTTTTTTTTTTTCCTTAGAGGTGGAGGGAGGGGCAGAGGGAGAGAAAATCTTAATCAGGCTCCATGCCCAGCGCGGGCCCGACACAGGGCTCCATCTCACAGCCCTGAGCCGAAATCAAGAGTTGGATGCTCAACCGACTGAGCCACCCAGGCACCCCAAGAAACCTGTAATTTTTATAACAATAGTTGAAGGCTATTATCACAAACTACTTTTCTCATATACATACAACAGTATCTTTTAAAATAGTAAATAGTGTTAAAAAACCACAATGCATGCATACACACATACATAATGCATGATGGGACTTACTGGTTAATTAAAACCATCTACTCAGTGTTAATGCTAATAAGACACAATAAAAAATGCTAATTTGACTGCTGTCCTTGCCTGATTCAACCCTCGCTTTTGTCCTTGGCTCGCTTTGTCAAAGACAATCTCTGGTAGACTGCCAACAGATTCAGAAGATTTGTAATAGAAAAGTCTTATTGAAAGAATATGCGATAAATACACTGTGATCTATAATCAATGCACTGAAACACTGTTTGAAAGCCAATGTTGAAAAAAGTGACTTAATATTTTTATTATAATTAGCAATATTTTTCTAGAAAAGTAATAAAGTTTATTCCTACTGGAAGAAGCAAAAGCTTAAAAGTTAATGAACACCAACTGCTATTTTAGGGGAATAGCTGTGATAGATTATTGCCTACATGATTATTCATTACTAGATTTGTGATTTTAATTGCAGATTTTAATGATTATAAAATTGTTCCTAATGAATCATGTCATTATTTAGATAGTGTCATCTCTTGACAATCATAAAAAGCTTAGAAAAAAAATTTAAGGGCGCCTGGGTGGCTCAGTTGGTTAAGCGACTGCCTTCGGCTCAGGTCATGATCCTGGAGTCCCGGGATCGAGTCCCGCATC